TCTGCTCTGCTCTGCTCTGCTCTGCTCTGCTCTGCTCTGCTCTGCTCTGCTCTGCTCTGCTCTGCTCTGCTCTGCTCTGCTCTGCTCTGCTCTGCTCTGCTCTGCTCTGCTCTGCTCTGCTCTGCTCTGCTCTGCTCTGCTCTGCTCTGCTCTGCTCTGCTCTGCTCTGCTCTGCTCTGCTCTGCTCTGCTCTGCTCTGCTCTGCTCTGCTCTGCTCTGCTCTGCTCTGCTCTGCTCTGCTCTGCTCTGCTCTGCTCTGCTCTGCTCTGCTCTGCTCTGCTCTGCTCTGCTCTGCTCTGCTCTGCTCTGCTCTGCTCTGCTCTGCTCTGCTCTGCTCTGCTCTGCTCTGCTCTGCTCTGCTCTGCTCTGCTCTGCTCTGCTCTGCTCTGCTCTGCTCTGCTCTGCTCTGCTCTGCTCTGCTCTGCTCTGCTCTGCTCTGCTCTGCTCTGCTCTGCTCTGCTCTGCTCTGCTCTGCTCTGCTCTGCTCTGCTCTGCTCTACTCTGCTCTGCTCTGCTCTGCTCTGCTCTGATCTGCTCTGCTCTGCTCTGCTCTGCTCTGCTCTGCTCTGCTCTGCTCTGCTCTGCTCTGCTCTGCTCTGCTCTGCTCTGCTCTGCTCTGCTCTGCTCTGCTCTGCTCTGCTCTGCTCTGCTCTGCTCTGCTCTGCTCTGCTCTGCTCTGCTCTGCTCTGCTCTGCTCTGCTCTGCTCTGCTCTGCTCTGCTCTGCTCTGCTCTGCTCTGCTCTGCTCTGCTCTGCTCTGCTCTGCTCTGCTCTGCTCTGCTCTGCTCTGCTCTGCTCTGCTCTGCTCTGCTCTGCTCTGCTCTGCTCTGCTCTGCTCTGCTCTGCTCTGCTCTGCTCTGCTCTACTCTACTCTACTCTACTCTACTCTACTCTACTCTACTCTACTCTACTCTACTCTACTCTACTCTACTCTACTCTCCTCTCCTCTCCTCTCTTCCTCCGGTATCATCGCCCTCTTCTTGCTCCTCACACCCTCGACTGTGCCGGCATTGCCCCTGACTGTGTTATAAAGGAACCCGCATCCCCTCACTTGCCCACCCTGATCTTATCATGTTTATCATCGCCCTCATCTCCATATTCGGATTTCGATCTTCATGCTCAGTCCAGGAACAGGAAAGAGCAGGAGGAGAAGCTGGAGGACAGCAGGAGGAGAAGCAGGAGCAGGAGGAGAAGTCCGAAGGAGGGGCAGCAGTGAGGCACGCAGGACTTTCAGTCAACAACGTGCATGATCCTGCGCTCGTTTGTGCGAGCATGACGATATTTGAGAACCACGGGAATCCTAGAAAGTCCATGAGAACAACAGGCGGTTTCATGTGTTGAGGCATGCGGACCTTCAGCACGAGAGGAGTTTGTATCCTCTTGCTGGTACTGCATGGCCAGGCCTCCAGGTCATCGGGGGGGGAGATGCATCCAAGGGATAGCGGCTACCCGACCATGTCGTGGTCAGACGGATCAGACTGCAGAAAACTTGGGATGAACCTGAGGGGTGGAGGAGGGAACGTGCCCACAAAGACAGGGGCTCATGGTCCAGCTAAGAAGAGACGGAAGACAGGAGAAGGCTCTGAGGATGTGATCTTTGCGGATGCTCCTCAACCACCTCAAGGCGACAACAACCATACAAGGGTGGCAGGTGAAGGACTGGACAATCATCAGCATCATTCGCTCATCTCTTCCTACTTCTCCATCATCCACATCTTTATGCCATCACCATCACCACCAACATCATATCATTATCGACTCATTCACTAACCCTGGAGCAAGCAGCGGGAGTGGAGGCTACCCCGATACCCAAGAAGCGCACTGTCACGTTTGAAGGAGTTTCGCCTGAGAGGCCTCAGCAGGATCAGCTCAAGTCGTTGCCTGCTGTCAACAACCTAGACAAGGAATATCACGGGAGGGACAGCAGTTTTCTCAACGATGCTGGTAGCTGCAATGTGTTTGTGGTGTCTTACTAATAAGATCAATATCAGCTAAGGGGCTGATCGCTCGAGGGGACGAGAAGCAAGCCGAACAAGTTCTGCTGCATGCAATCCACTCTAACCCAAACAACACGATGGTTTCTTGCTCGCATTCAATGAAAATACACATGACAAGTTGTCAGGCGATTCTGCTCTACTCCGGGCTATTGGAGACAAAAGACCCCGCACAGGCTGCCGGACTGAAGAGCATAGCATATCAGCAAGACCCCACAAGCCCTGATGTCTGTAAGGATATCTCTACTGAATGCTTCGGCAGCACTTGACACATGCTGCAGTGTTTGTCTACTCTCAATACCTGATCCGTTCAGGGAAGCAGCGCGAGGCAGAAGCAGCCTATAAGAAAGCCATCGAATCTCTTGTTCTTGAGGTCTGGACTTGGAGGTTACAGGAGGGTTTGAAAGTTTCCTCAGCACGCGTTTCTGAATCGAAACAAGACGGCAAAGAGCAGCCCCTTGGGGCGACTAGCGAGTGACTACTGTTGGCTGCTGCAGGTGCGTCAGATACAACTTATTCTTGTTCCATTCCCTCCTATCAACCCTCCTATCGTCTCTTGTTTTGCTGTCTCCCAGCTCTGCCTGATATCTTGCAAGTGGCGGGGGAATTTTCGTAGAGTTCGTCAGATATGGACGATGACAGGATCAGAGCTCATGAAAGGAAAGCACCTGAGCGTGTAAGATGAGATGCTTGCATCTTCGAGACACCAGAATGAAATTGAGATCAGGTTTGCATGTGCGTTTGATCAGCTGGGAGAAGACCAGCAAGCGTTCAAACTGTGAAATCTGTCTGTCTCGTCGTCGGTTTCTCTCACCTCTTCGAAGATACTCCATGGCAGAGAAGCTGAACGTGATGGACTCGAACGACAAGACAAACTTTGCCGGTTTCCTGAGCAAGAAGGTGCCTCAACAAGTAGGTACTCGTTGCACTACTGCTAATTTCTTGTAGCTTGGTGATTCGGTGAGGGCCGAAAGTTTGTACAACTCTGCATTGGAAGATGATCCTGGTACGTGATGTCCTCAAGTCGCAGCAGCCCTGATACTGAACTGATCTGGTGTATAGAAAATGCAGCGGCATTGCTGAATTATGCAAAGCTCCTGTGCAAAAGGACGTCAAGTGGAGATTTGGCGACGGCAAACTACATGTCGGGACCCACCATTGGGTATTGAGAGGGCCCTGATGGTCCGTGAGAGCAGGTTCGAACGGGTCGAGGAGCTTCTGGAGAGGAGGGAGATTCAGGTCGGGCTGGTTATGAGGGTGAGCGAAGATCGCCTCATATCCTTTCCGTAGGAGGGTGACAAGGCTGCGGGTTTGGTCCTGTCTCACTGCTATGAATGGCATGCGTGGCTGAGGCAGAAGAGATTCCAAGATGAGTCCTCTTCGATCAGAGTACCGCTCGCACGTTCGCCCCTTCCCTTCTGACATGCTCGCGCCCGCAGCTCCTTATGAAAGCCGTCAACGGCTCCGACGTTTCCCCGAGGTTGATTGATACTGTGGTGACGCGAATACGGCAAGTGCAGGGAGGAGAGGAGAGAGAGCAAGGTAAGCAAACGCTCCTTGATCAAACCTTCCTTGCCCTCTTCCAGTTCCGCCTGTAACGCATGTGACAGTGAAAGGGTATCTCAAACATTTGCCGGAGATAGTGAGGGTAATACAAGCGAGAAGGAGACGAGCTGATTTGACAGACCTGTCGTTCAGGTTGCAATCAAGTTGACCATCAGGGCGAAGGTTGCAGAGCAGGCGAGAGGATCTACCGACATGGCGGCGCTGCAAGAGAAGAACGTCTCATACATTGGGAGCCTGAACTCTTCCCTCAATCAGACGTACATGGACTTCTACTCAATGGTGAAGAAGAAATGTCAGGAACAGTTCTCCATAGAGCCGAGAGGAGCAACTCCCAGACCTGTACGTGAAGACCCCTCTCTCTCCCTTGTCAACCTTGACTTGCGCTCGGATCCATCCAGATATCAGGCGACGAGAGCGAGGTCAGCTCATTGGGGATCAACGTCAAGTCAGAATCGGGAGTGTCCGAGCGTTCGGAGCTGATCAAGTCCGAGGATGTTATGCAGGAAAGCATGCTCAGGTTCCCATCCTTCTCTCGTTCCCCGCATCCTCCTGACGCATTCACTGGATTTGATGAGCAGGAGGGATGAGCAGCTATCATTCTCCTCTGTGAGAGCTTCGTTCTGTGGTCTCTCTTTTCACTTTCCGACAGGTTGGCCCACTCATGCAACAAGCAAAGGAGATAGAAAACCTTCACCGTCAAAGAGAAGAATTCTCGAGTGGCTCTGCAAGAGAAAGAGGCAGCAAGGTTCAGCGATGTCCGTAGCCACATCTTTTCTGCCTGAGAATCGCTTGTACAGGTTTCATCTGATGGCAGCAACCCGAAGGAGGATGGGAGCGAACGAGAAACCACAGATGAAACGTCGAGGATCCAAGACGTATGGGACGATTCAGACGAGTTGAATAATGATGCGGAAATGTACTTCTCGCATGTGTCTCAAGCGGACCTGAAACAAATCGAACAAGCGAGGAAGAGTGAGGTGGCAAATCATACAAATAACGAGACTCTTCATCAGTTCTTTGTCCGAGTGATACAGAGAAATGGATTGAAGGCAAGACATACACAAATCATCTCACCATCTCGATTGAAGATGTTTTTTGCCAGGTTGGGGTCTTGAATGGAAAGAGATTAGAAAACATAGTCTCATTCTTTGCGCACAAGCAGCGGATCTTTCTCCTTTACAAGGACCGAAGAATGAATTTCAATCAGTATTTCAAGTATTTCAATCTTGAAACCAGCGTTGACCAAGTGAGATTTGCAATGTAGCTGAGCTTGCTTTCTTTATATCATTACTCTCTCTGCAGATCAAAAATCTGTACTTTTTGGATACCTGGAAAAGTCTTTACAACGAGTTTGGGGGCGAGCTTTTCATCAGCGAATTTTTCCAGAAAAAGTTTCCCAGACGAGAGGCTTCGGCCCGTATGGACTCAGTCTTTTCTATTTCTTCCGCTATCATGGACTACTCAGGCCTGGAAGACCTGAAGATGCTGAGAGAGGAAAGACCTGATATCGAAACCGAGATGAGGAGATTGAAGGCTGACCCTGGGACTCACAGAGCCGTCTTCGATGCAATGAAGTCCGACACGATCCGCTGGAATCAATCCACGATAGATCGTCTCAAAAATTTGTATCCTGAGGAACTCGAGATCAACAACGCAGACTTTCCTGACCTGTCGAATGTCATTCTACCGCCGACCTCGGGTTCAATCAGAAGCCTGCTGAGACAGCATCGGAAAATGCTCAACGCTTCAGAACAGGACGTATCTGAGCACGTTGATGAAGAATCGAATGCTTCTTTTCAGAACTCAACAAATTTTGCAAACCATTCGGATATCGTGGAAGATTCGGCAATGAACTCATCGCAGTTGGATGACATCAGCGAGAAACAGTTCATGGATGAGTCATCCTTTGGAATGTCGAATGTCAAACCGATGAGCAAACAGTTTTACGAGAGCATCTACGGAGCAGGAAATTTGAACTTTGCTTCAAACTTTGAGACAGAGGCCGTGTCGTCTGTTTCAGAAAGGCAAACTTCTGAATCTCAGCCAAAGAAAGTAGAGTCTAAGAAGGAGGTCAAGGTTGTTACAGGAGAGAGAATGTCAGATGACCACAAATCCAAGGAGAAGCGAACTCTCATTGCAAAGATAGACACTCTATGTGTGGGATGTCAATTCTACAACGGAATTCAGTGTATCAACGGCAGTTCCATAGGTTTGAAGGCTCAGAGGGAACCCAACAATATGCACGACCAGAATGCTGTGCGGCTAGATCTCGTCTCGCCGACAAACACGTCGTTGGGATACCTCATGAAACCTGTAGCAAGTTGGATCGCGCCGCTGATGGACAGCAAAGTCCTAAAGTTTGAGTTCAGGTATTGTTGGCAAAGTTGAGATCTTCCAAGTTTCTGATCTCCTTGCAGCATCAAGAATGGAACTGCAGCTCTCCTGCCACAAAAGACCAACTCGAGCACAACGGTTCCTCTGCAAGTCAGGGTCAAGGGATTTCCTGGAAGAGAGTTGGAGAAGAAGAGGTGAGGGGCTGAGGAGGAAGGCGAGGAAAGAGTGATCATGACAGCTGTTGTAGGAACAGAAAACATGCAAACTCGTTGATCCCTGAAGGAGGTATTCCGATCCACACAGGAAGCAACCTCGAACATCACACTATGCAAGATGTTCCTCGCATCTTCTGTGACAAGAAAAGCTTGTCTGTGAAGTTTAACAATGGCACCATCATTTCTCTACAACAATATTTCAGTAAGACAGTCAAGAATTGAAGTCATAAGTAAATAAAGTCAACATTAGAATAATTTCTCATCCTAATTTGTTAGTGTCACCTTCAACATACCTTGTCCTCCTCCTCCTCCTCCTCCTCCTCCGTCTTCCTCCTCCTCCTCCTTCCCTCCATCCTCCTCTTCATCCTTCTCCCCCTCTTCTTCGTCTTCTACATCCTCTCCCCCCATTCTCCTCTGAAGTTGCCTGAACAAGCAGCATTGCTGCGCGGCATACTTGACCGTCCGCTCAGTCCCCAAGAGCGTCAACTCTGCTGGTCAGAATACCCCTTCGCTCAGCACCCCACCCTGTCGTACCTGACCGGTAGTGTCTAGGAATTACCCCCATCAAATATAATATATCAGAGCATGAATGAACCGGTAGGGTAATACTTTACTGGTCTACCCCACCCACAATGTCGCTCACAACCCACCCCTCAAAAGGAGGCCTAGATGGACCTCCTGTTCTATTTTCGGAATCGATCTCAGCATGTTCGCTCTGCTCGCTCGCACACAGGTTGGTTGCCTCCGCCTCCTTCATGCTCAACGTCATAGATGATCATCTCCTCCTCCTCCTCCACCTCCTCCTCCTCCTTCCATCTTCCTCCTCCTCATCTTCCTCCTCCTCTTCCTTCCATCCTTCTCCTTCCATCTTCCTCCTCCTCCTCATCATCATCCTCATCATCATCATCATCATCATCATCATCATCATCATCATCATCATCATCATCATCATCATCATCATCATCATCATCTTACCCTCATCATTATCATCGTCGTCGTCGTCATTTTCATTGTCATTGTCATTGTCGTCGTCATCATCATCCCTTCCTCTCATTCCTCCTTCTTGCTCACTCCTCCTTCCTCTTCTTCATTCACTAAAACTTCCCTTGTCATTAACTCTTCTCTTCGTTCTCTCTTTTCCTGACTTTCTTGACTGATGATTTATCTTTCCACTTTGGTTCGCTTCCCTTTCATACTATTGCTCCCCTTGCATGGTTAGGGCAAGTCTTTCCTGATCTTACATCATCTCCATCGATGTCGAACTAATCAGTCTCCATTCATCAGTGTCTAATGCTCCCTCTCAACATGTAAAACTGAGTCAAATTATTCTGAGAAGTTCCTTTGCATTTCATTCGGCACATGCTCCCTCAATTCATATTGTTTCTGCTCAAATCGTTGTGCCATGGAAGAATCTGACTCACCTCGACTGTGCTGTTCAGTTCTCAAAGTTATTCTTCGACATGTACAGCGAGTAAGCTCCACACAAGTTTGCTCGTAGCAGTGACTGACTTGTACTCAGATGCAGTGATGGAAGCATGACTTCCAAGTATCAGAACCACGGCATGCAGGAGTGCCCTCCACATGTTGACGACGACAAAATCGACATGACCTCTGCTCCGTAAGTTCTCCCTCGCCAGTTTACCCGTATCTGACTGCTACGAAGTTACTAAATGCGAGCACACACACTCGAATACATGGTGCTACTCGAAGTTTTCAAATGAAATGCAGTCTTGTCAGTAAACTAACGTTGTTTACTGATTTAACAGTGGAAGTTTCACTTTCAGAACATGAGATTTCTTAACAAACTTTGCTCTCGTCGCCTGCGTATCAACTCTTGATGGCAGAGCGATCTCCAACGTCTGAATCGTCTTCACTGAACGCAACCTCTCATCGTTGCACATACCTGATAAGGAGGTGCAATCAGCTTGAGGGAAGTCTCGTGCTGGTGTAGGTCCACTCCTTCCATACTCTCCTTCAGCAGCAGCTCTACATTCTGAACGAAATTTCACTGAGAGTCAACATGTTTGACGGGTCTTGCCGTACCACTTCGATGTAGGCGTCTGTCTGCTTCAATTCGTACTTGGGCACGGCTACACTCGAGTCTTGCGCTGAAATCTGTGCTGAAGTTTGTGCTGATCTTCCAGCCGGAGGTTGTTCACGAGACTGGAGGGCTTTCTCCGCTCGCTGTTGACAACGTTCATAATGCCGCCTAGGTAATGTCACTCAGTCACCTCGATGCCCTCGAGTAGCTGAGGGCTGTCAGGAAGTAGTTCAAGCCCGTTCCTGTACGCGGTAATGCTGTCTTGCCACCTTGTGAGACCCTCCAGCGCCTGCCATGACGTCAAACACTGAGAGCCCTTGCTGCTGTCCACCTGCCCCTTGCGAAACCATGCCTTCACATAGGTGGGATCTACAGAGATCGCCTGCACCCTACGTCAACCGACGTCTTGGATCTCAGCCAACCAGTCAGACCATCGTCGCATCTGCAAGAGCTGCTTCAAACTCGCTTAGGCGTATGTTTGCAGCAGCTCTGAAATGAACGGGTAAGACAGTACAAGTGAGTCCTGGGATACAAATATCTGACCGATTGGTGTAAAGAACAGCATTCGGCGCCTCCTCCATCGCTATGGCTTTTGAGAAATGCTGGGGAAATCAGTTAAAAACTCAAAATCTCCAAAACAAATTCTAACTTCCAGAGCTTCTTTGAAGTTTTCTTGTGAAAAAGCAACATTTCCTCGATCTTTGTACTTCTGCGCTTCATCCTGGAAGATCAATTGTTTGAGATTCTTCTGAATTCTGTCAACTCGTTGAAAACCTTTCTTGAATTTGTCTGCCTCTGTCCAGATGGTTTTTCAGCCTTCAGAGACTTTGATTTTGCTTGCTGGATCGAAGCATATGAATTACTAGCAGAGACAACTCAGAGGGAAACAAACACCACTTCTTTAGTTTCTGGAACATCCTTGTGCCCTCTACCCGAAGTCTCTTCGTGTGATAATCCTGATACTAGCGTCACTTTGACGTCAAACGAGTTTGATCGGACGTTTTGTAAGATCCTCAATTTGGTCAATTATGGCCTCCTCCTTCTCCTGGATTTTTTGCGTATTCAGCACAAGACTAGACATCCTTGCATTATTGCATATACCATCGAGCTCTTGTTGAAGGAGCGGGCAACTGCTTCCGACAAGACTCGTTGTACAGCCTTCACATTTACAGAACTTCAGTAACCCTCTCACTCAATTGATAATTTCAAAACCTCTGAATTTCCCATCTCGTGAGCTGTCATGGCAACCTTGATTTCCTCTATATTCGCATCGTCAGCAAGAATGGCTGATAATAGGCGGTCTCAAGCATAGCACTTACGATTGCTCAGGCCGGACTGCTGCATGAACAAGATCAAGTCGTCAAAGGTCTTCAACTTTTTCAGTTGCTTCTCCTTCACTGCAAGTCATTGCAGAGGGATTGATAGAAAGAGAGACCTTGTCTTTGAGCATCTTCGCCTCCTTTGACAAATTATCCTTGTAACGAATGTCAGTTGAGTCGAGTGAAGTCGAATATCTGCACCAGACTGGAATCGAAGACAGACTTCATTTGGCTAATCTTTCCCTGGAATCACCCAGTCAGCCACCTTTCTTATGAGATTTTGATCAGTAGTTCCTGGAGATTTTCGGTTTCAGGCGTAGCGGAAGGCGGCATGGCTTGAGCGAGTCCTTCGATATCCTTAACACGAAAGTCGAGTCACAACCCTAGCTCAGAACAAGAGGAGGATACCGCAGGTAGTGGAGCCCCCATCTCTCGCAGCATGTCCAAGAATCGCTTGCGAACCTCAGGACTTGCCTGTTCAGCCTCATCAGATGCTCGACTTGTCGTGGCACGAGTCGGATTACGTTCTCCAACGCCTTGGCGGCTGCAATCTCTGCCTCTTGGATGTCTCTTGCATTCCCTGCCATGAGGAGGTTCAGCGCGAGAAGAAGCCAACATGGCTGGACAACTTCACCTCTGGACTTCGCCTCATCCACCTTCTTCATTGCCTCCAAGAGCTCGATCGGTGGCTTCGTTACCTTAGTTTGCTCCCTGATGAACTTTCAGTATCAATCGACGACTTCAGTCGCTGTCAGGCAATCCATATTGTGCACGTCACTCACACTCTTGGCTTCTCCTCTTCCTCGTCGCTGCTCAATTCCAGCTTGTCGAACTTGCTGTAGTCAATCTTGTTCTTGGATGCCTTTGCCTTTGGCGCCTCCTTCTTGGCTTCTGAGTTCCATCGTTCAAAACCTTCACCGAAGTAGTGCAAGGCTCGTTACCTTGACTTTTTCCGCCGCCTATTCGTTTCAGCATCTCCAACATGATTGTCTCTTTCTTGAGAGCTCCCTCGCGTTTGTATGCCTAGCCATTCTCCTTACAAGTCCAGCAGGGGAACGAACAAGAATCAAACCATGGCAGCCTGCTCCAGGAGCCTTTTTGCTTCGTCTAACTTGCCATCAACCTTGGTGGAAATTTCAGTGCACTGAGAAGATGGAAGGAGCAGAATCTGCCTTGATCAGATCCTGTGCTCGTCGAAACACGGCGTCTCCTTCAGATTCCATACCGGATCTGTGAAGCAAGCGTCAGGTGCAGCTCATGTTTGTCCCAGGAGATTCGAATCCCTGTTGATCTACAGTGTATACCTCCCTCTCCCTTGCTCCTCCTCCTCGTCTCTGCTCCTCATCCCTTCCTCGCCCCACTCTCTCCTCCCGATGGAACCAGGAAAACGCTGGAACCTGACGACAGCAGGAGGCTAAAACATGAAAAAGACTGTAAGCAGGCTCACCTCAGTCATCCACATACGGAAAAGGAGAGGCAGACTGAAGCAGATAATATTCAAGGTCGAGGCTCGCCGAGTCACTGAGGTGACAATCCGACGAGTCATGGGTAGTCCCGGAGTCCGAGGCGGCCCGGCACAGCGGCTGGCGCGGCCTCAACTTGCTCCGACAGGGCGACCGGCTGGAGAAGTCCAGTGACGGCCAAGTACGGGAGCCTGGCAGTTTGGGGCTGACGGACAACAGTGAGGCACAGTGCCAGTCGGACGGTAAACCATGAACGGTGCCTCGGAGGCTCACTGTTGCCAGCGGCCCAGTGGCATCCGATGAGCCTCACGATGCCCGTGGCATCCGGGACTGACCCGGTCGACGCGGCCAGGCCCCCGGGCCCCGGCGCACCTGAGGGCCGACTGAGCCCCGGCAGCCTGTCACAGTGTGTTGTCCGCCGCTGACTGGCAAGTAAGAGCGCGGCCCAGGCTCCGCCGCTTACTTCAAGTCTACTTTTGTGACGACCGTTACTTACCGTTGCAATGTCTTCTGAAAGGGGGTAGTGGAATCAGGGGGCCGGGATGTACGGGGGTAGTAAAACAGCTCAGCAGGGGTAGTGAGCTTGAAATGACCGGGTGAAAACAGGAATATGGTCGTAGGGTAGGGTATGAGAAATGGAATTGAGGGGGGTCATAAAATTGATGGGTGGGGAGTGAAGCATGACATTTTCAAAGACCTCGAAATTCCTTGGTCATCCCCGATACTTCTCATACTAATAATTAGTTAAGATATAATGACCATATAGTTTTTATTAATAACAAAACTGCCTCTATTACATGAATCACCGCCGCCGGAAACGAATCTTGTCGGCCCCTGCTTACCTGCCATGCACGCGGCGGGGATGGCACGACGTGCAGGGTTTCTGACCCTCCTCCTCCCCGTCCTGTCAAGTGCTTTCCTCACTCCATCGCCAAACTTTCTTGCCTCTTCTCTCGCCTCGAAGAACTCTCGGGTCCACCAGGTTTGCCCCACAGGACATCAACAGTCGAGCTCTGAATCAAGACTTGTAGGTCGGGCGCCGAGTCCCACGTCTCTCGCTGAGAATGCAGGGGCCCAAACTTGATGCAGAAGTTTTCGGCAAGGACAGATTAAAGCAGGTGAAGCTTCGCTGAAGCTCTATCATCAAGCCATTCATGATATCTCTGTCAGGAAGAAGCGGATATCAGGAAGATGGAGAAACAGGGAATGGCCAAGAAGGATGTCACACTCACAGTGAGCTATACTATCATGCGATCTCGATGGATTTCAAGTTGATCCTTTGCTTTTCCTCTCAGGACATCATCTCATTGTGGATCACAAACATCATTCTTACCTACGGTGACAAGGAAAAGTATGCACAACTTCAGGACGGCGCAGTAAAGTCAGAGGTTTTACATATTGATCATTTTGCTTCATTCTAATCGCACATGCTCATACAGGGTGTTGTGGATGATCTTGTTGGTGGGCCCCTGTTCTTGCCCCTGTACAAATATTTCAAGGATTGTGGCGGATTGTACAAGCTGTGCTTTGGACCCAAGGTACTCCAACCCTGCTTCGATGATTGATTCTGACCTTGATTCTTCTGCAAGGTGTTCATGGTTGCCTCTGACCCATTAGTCATCCGACACATCATGAAAGACAACGTCTTCTCGTATGATAAGGGGGTTCTGACTGAAATTCTTGAACCGTTCATGGGGCAAGGCTTGATCCCTGCTCCGTTCCAAGTCTGGAAGGAGAGGCGCAGAGCTCTCGTTCCTGGATTTCATCAGGCGTGGTTGAATAGAATGTGCAGGATGTTCTCGGAATGTACCGATCGGCTCTCGGCAAAGCTCGATGCTGTGGCAGACACCGACGAGATCATCGACATGGAGGAGAACTGGAACAGCTGCTCCCTCGACATCATCGGCAAGGCTGTCTTCAACTATGACTTTGGGTCTGTAGAGAAGCTTTCACCGGTGGTTGAAGCTGCTCTCTGCGCCTTGCGTGAAGCTGAGCATCGATCCACGTTCTACTTCCCCTACTGGAAGATTCCAGGGCTGGGCGCGGAATGGCCAATCCCTGCCCTTGTACCCCGTCAGCGGAAGTTTCAACAGGACATGGCGCTTCTGAATGGAGTCCTGGACAAACTCATCCTCAACGTCGTGAACGAGAAGCAAGAGACTGACTTGGATGCTCTCATCAACAAGGATTACGACAACGTCAACGATCCCTCGCTGCTGAGATTCCTCGTGGACCTGAGGGGTGCCGATGCAACTCAGAAGCAGTTGCGAGACGACCTCATCACTTTGCTCATTGCTGGCCACGAGACGACTGGTTCGATGTTGACCTGGGCGACATGGCTCCTGAGCCAACATCCGGAAGCTCAGGCCAAGATGCAGAAGGAGATCGACGATGTCTTGGGAGGCCGATCCCCAACCTATGAGGACATGCCAAGACTGGAGCAGGTCAGGCTGGTGATCACAGAGACGCTAAGGCTCTTCCCCGAGCCCCCGATTTTGATCCGGAGAGCTCTTGATGCAGATGTCTTGCCAAAGGCAAGCAATCTCGATGGCTCCGTGCAGGGGAATGCAGTGAAAATCATCAAGGGAAGCGATTTCTTCCTCTCTGTTTGGAACTTGCATCGATCTCCACTCCTTTGGGATAAGCCTGATGAGTTCGATCCCGACAGGTAATGAATGATGTTTGTTGTGGACCTTGTTGCAAGAACTTACGTTAATCTGTCCACAGGTGGAGGAGACCAACACCTCCTGAACTCGTAGAGAAGTACAATGCCCAGCGCAGGGCAGAGGGGTTGCCTGAATGGCAGGGGTACGTCCCTGATCTGAAGACGCTCTATCCCAACGAAGTGCATGCTGACTATGCCTTCTTGCCTTTCGGGGCTGGGCCGAGGAAGTGTCTGGGCGATCAGTTCGCCCTGATGGAGTCAGTTGTGATGCTCACGAAGATCTTTCAGCGCTACTCGTTCGAACTGGTTGGAAACCACGATCCCAAGGTCCCGAATGAATCAGACGTGGGGATGATGTTTGGTGCCACGATCCACACAGCCAACGGACTGAATGTGCGCGTAAAGCGCAGACAGGCTTGAGCAACAGAAAATTCGGATCAGGATCTGGTCAGATTGTAGATCTACAATCTTGTATTTGTTGATCATTGTTATTGCTTACTGTTACTTCAACAAACTAAAACGTCATAGAACTGTAAGGGGATGCATATGATGATTACTTCAACCCCACATGCGTCCCGTCCATTTAGGGTGTAGTTGTTTGACAAAAGGAATGATACAGATGCTAGGCCGTATACTTTCGCTGAAACATGAGGAAAGGGTGGCTTTGCTCGCTTCGTGAATACAATGGTCACGCATTTTCCTTTAACAATTCGCCTCGTCATTTCCACTTTCTCTCCGTTTTAACTCCTCAACTCGTCTGCAAATTCATCATTGTCTTCGCTTGTATCCTCTTCCTCCTCGCTCTTGTACCTCGCCTCCTATACTCGCTTGACCATTCCTCTCCGATGAAGTCTTTGTACCAATCCGTACCCCACCCCCCTCTTCTCCCGACATTTGCCACCACCCTACCTGCTTGGCCCTATTCCGGCTTGCTGAAATCGCATGTCGATATGGCGTGAATGGGGCGTATGACGACCATGTGCGGCAGAAGGAGACAGGAGGCGAGGGGTGGGACGGGGAGGAAAAGAGGAGGAGGATGAGGTGAGAGAAGCGTGCTGGCAAGCTCACAGCCCGTCTCTGTCATCTCCTTGAAAGTCATGGAAGATCTCCAAATTCTCCAATCGGATCTCGAACATTCAGAGCGAGTCCGGAGGTGGTTGTCGAAAAGACTTGCATCTACCATCAAGAATCTTGAGGTTCTTCATGAAGTTAATGACAAGAAACGAACCATGCATCTGCTCGAAATGTACTCCAACAGGAGGAGACATGAAAGTCATGTCCGAACGTTGATAACACGTCGCCGAGTCAGATCTTGTACCTCAGTTCACTTTGAGGAATGGAGATGTTATGTAAAGTCTCGATCACATCTCAAGGCTCGAATATCAAACTTCTGCTTCAGGACAATGATCAAAATGTCACATAAAGCACTCGATTCTTGGGCTGCACTGAGGCTAAAAAGCATACGGATCAACTCTCTTACTCAAAAATCATTGAATCATTTCAAGTCCTATCTGATGCTCCGATGGTTTTCCATTGCACGATTTTCCCGGAGAAAATGCAACTTGACCATCAGTTTGCAACGGAGGTGACCAACCTTTTGACCTTTGACTTTCTTTTATGACTCAAATAACAGGTCTCAACGAAGGTTGTTATACAGGTCGTATGATCGATGGCAGTCATGGGTGAAGTTTGACAAGGAGATAAAATCAAAGCTTCGAATCCGATCTCAACTGATGCTCTTCAAACTTCAGACGTCTATCTCCATTAGGAGTGACGTCGCATTATTGTCAAACAGTGAGCGGTGGTCTGATATATTGATTCGATGTTGTGAGGGGTTCAGTAATGGTAATCTCAACCGACAAGATGTCAAACGTCTGTTCTTCAATTGTCTGAATGATCAACAAGTGACAGCAGAAATTCATTTCGTGAAAGATTCGACAGACTTCCCTGAGCTCACAACTGTGAACTTTGAAACCAGATTAGAACAGACAATCTCAAATCACTTGCCTGCCCCAACCACTTTCAAGGTGGAAAACGCCACAGCAAAAATACACAAACAAGATATATTGTTTGAAAGACACACATTCTTTCTTGGAAAGCGATTCATGACTGCATGGTACCATCAATACGAAGAAAAGAAGCAAACGTTTACAAGAAGGAGGCAACCTAAGCGAAATTCACTCAAAGCTAATGAGCAAATGATCAGACAAAAATACAAAGAAATCATAACAACTGTATTCGAACAATACTCTCAAACTGTCAAACGAAGACGAAAACTGCGAAATCAGTGTAAGCGAGTGCTCCGCCGCATGATACACGCGCGTCTGGCAGCAGCCTTCGACTTTTACTTGGACCTGGTGACGTGGCGGAAGCGAGCTCGCGAGCTGTGCGGTCGGGTGCTGGGCCGCTGGCTGCATAGGACGCAGGCAGCAAGCTTCGCGACCTGGAGAGCCGCGGCGGTACGGAGGAGGAGGATGTGCCTGCTGGCTGACAGGCTGGAGGCGCGGCGCCGAGCTTGGGCGCTCAGCCAGGGTTTCGACCTGTGGCTGGGCCATGCCGAGACAGGGAGGGCGGCCAGACGTGTAGGAGGGCTCGAGCAAGCTTGCTCGGAGCTGAGCGCCAAGCTGGGTCATCGGACGGAGAGGCTCGAGGAGCTGGCCCGACAGAGCGTAGCACGGAGGATACAGGGGCACACGGCCGAGGCTTTCCGGCGGCTGGTAGAGGGCGTGGCTGAGTCACGGAGGCGTCGAGCGCTGGACCGACGCGCGCAGACGAGACGGGAGCTGACGGGTCTCGGGAGAGCCTTCGAAGCCTTCGCTGACGCCGTGTCGGAGCATCGAGCCTTGCGGGATCAAGACCGCGAGGTCAGCCGGCTCGAGGGCCAGCTCCAGAGCGAGCAGAGGCGGAGCGAGGAGCTTGCTCAGCACCTTGACGCGCTCAAGCAGTCGTTGCACGCTCGCCTGGATCGTCAAGCCGCGAGCGACGAGACGCGAGCGGCGTTCGAGGGGCTGAGGTCGGCTACGGGCCGGGCTCGGCGAGCGCGTCAGATCTGCCGGAAGGCCTTGGGCAAGATGCGATGCAGAGACCTGTCGCAGGGGCTGGAGCGCTGGCGGTCAGCGACATCCGCCGCACGCGTCAGGAGACAAGCTTGCACGAGGGCCGTCAAGCGCTGGCAGGCCGGGCTGGCGTCGCGGGCATACGACAAGTGGGCAGAAGAAGCCGACAAGGCAAGATCCGAGAGGCTCCGTCAAGCTCAGCGCGACAGGCGTCAGCTTGCTCTATGCGAGCGAGTGCTCCGCCGCATGATACACGCGCGTCTGGCAGCAGCCTTCGACTTTTACTTGGACCTGGTGACGTGGCGGAAGCGAGCTCGCGAGCTGTGCGGTCGGGTGCTGGGCCGCTGGCTGCATAGGACGCAGGCAGCAAGCTTCGCGACCTGGAGAGCCGCGGCGGTACGGAGGAGGAGGATGTGCCTGCTGGCTGACAGGCTGGAGGCGCGGCGCCGAGCTTGGGCGCTCAGCCAGGGTTTCGACCTGTGGCTGGGCCATGCCGAGACAGGGAGGGCGGCCAGACGTGTAGGAGGGCTCGAGCAAGCTTGCTCGGAGCTGAGCGCCAAGCTGGGTCATCGGACGGAGAGGCTCGAGGAGCTGGCCCGACAGAGCGTAGCACGGAGGATACAGGGGCACACGGCCGAGGCTTTCCGGCGGCTGGTAGAGGGCGTGGCTGAGTCACGGAGGCGTCGAGCGCTGGACCGACGCGCGCAGACGAGACGGGAGCTGACGGGTCTCGGGAGAGCCTTCGAAGCCTTCGCTGACGCCGTGTCGGAGCATCGAGCCTTGCGGGATCAAGACCGCGAGGTCAGCCGGCTCGAGGGCCAGCTCCAGAGCGAGCAGAGGCGGAGCGAGGAGCTTGCTCAGCACCTTGACGCGCTCAAGCAGTCGTTGCACGCTCGCCTGGATCGTCAAGCCGCGAGCGACGAGACGCGAGCGGCGTTCGAGGGGCTGAGGTCGGCTACGGGCCGGGCTCGGCGAGCGCGTCAGATCTGCCGGAAGGCCTTGGGCAAGATGCGATGCAGAGACCTGTCGCAGGGGCTGGAGCGCTGGCGGTCAGCGACATCCGCCGCACGCGTCAGGAGACAAGCTTGCACGAGGGCCGTCAAGCGCTGGCAGGCCGGGCTGGCGTCGCGGGCATACGACAAGTGGGCAGAAGAAGCCGACAAGGCAAGATCCGAGAGGCTCCGTCAAGCTCAGCGCGACAGGCGTCAGCTTGCTCTATGCGAGCGAGTGCTCCGCCGCATGATACACGCGCGTCTGGCAGCAGCCTTCGACTTTTACTTGGACCTGGTGACGTGGCGGAAGCGAGCTCGCGAGCTGTGCGGTCGGGTGCTGGGCCGCTGGCTGCATAGGACGCAGGCAGCAAGCTTCGCGACCTGGAGAGCCGCGGCGGTACGGAGGAGGAGGATGTGCCTGCTGGCTGACAGGCTGGAGGCGCGGCGCCGAGCTTGGGCGCTCAGCCAGGGTTTCGACCTGTGGCTGGGCCATGCCGAGACAGGGAGGGCGGCCAGACGTGTAGGAGGGCTCGAGCAAGCTTGCTCGGAGCTGAGCGCCAAGCTGGGTCATCGGACGGAGAGGCTCGAGGAGCTGGCCCGACAGAGCGTAGCACGGAGGATACAGGGGCACACGGCCGAGGCTTTCCGGCGGCTGGTAGAGGGCGTGGCTGAGTCACGGAGGCGTCGAGCGCTGGACCGACGCGCGCAGACGAGACGGGAGCTGACGGGTCTCGGGAGAGCCTTCGAAGCCTTCGCTGACGCCGTGTCGGAGCATCGAGCCTTGCGGGATCAAGACCGCGAGGTCAGCCGGCTCGAGGGCCAGCTCCAGAGCGAGCAGAGGCGGAGCGAGGAGCTTGCTCAGCACCTTGACGCGCTCAAGCAGTCGTTGCACGCTCGCCTGGATCGTCAAGCCGCGAGCGACGAGACGCGAGCGGCGTTCGAGGGGCTGAGGTCGGCTACGGGCCGGGCTCGGCGAGCGCGTCAGATCTGCCGGAAGGCCTTGGGCAAGATGCGATGCAGAGACCTGTCGCAGGGGCTGGAGCGCTGGCGGTCAGCGACATCCGCCGCACGCGTCAGGAGACAAGCTTGCACGAGGGCCGTCAAGCGCTGGCAGGCCGGGCTGGCGTCGCGGGCATACGACAAGTGGGCAGAAGAAGCCGACAAGGCAAGATCCGAGAGGCTCCGTCAAGCTCAGCGCGACAGGCGTCAGCTTGCTCTATGCGAGCGAGTGCTCCGCCGCATGATACACGCGCGTCTGGCAGCAGCCTTCGACTTTTACTTGGACCTGGTGACGTGGCGGAAGCGAGCTCGCGAGCTGTGCGGTCGGGTGCTGGGCCGCTGGCTGCATAGGACGCAGGCAGCAAGCTTCGCGACCTGGAGAGCCGCGGCAGTACGGAGGAGGAGGATGTGCCTGCTGGCTGACAGGCTGGAGGCGCGGCGCCGAGCTTGGGCGCTCAGCCAGGGTTTCGACCTGTGGCTGGGCCATGCCGAGACAGGGAGGGCGGCCAGACGTGTAGGAGGGCTCGAGCAAGCTTGCTCGGAGCTGAGCGCCAAGCTGGGTCATCGGACGGAGAGGCTCGAGGAGCTGGCCCGACAGAGCGTAGCACGGAGGATACAGGGGCACACGGCCGAGGCTTTCCGGCGGCTGGTAGAGGGCGTGGCTGAGTCACGTAAGGAATGGGAGCAATCGCACTTCCTTGCTCAGCTATCAATCAAACGAACACTTGTTTTTGTGTTGAATGCTTTTCTGAATAACTTTCTGCTTTATCGGGCTCGTCGTTTGTTCTTTCATATTGCTGTTCGAACATTTTGTGTCAAGCTCAAAAAATACTTCTTTGACATGTTGAAGGTTTTTTGCTTTCGCAGCTATGGGGAGTGGCAGGTTTGTCGTCTCATTCAATCTAAATGGCATCAACACTCGCTGTATTCAGCTTTCAATCGATGGACATCATGGCATGAGGAATCGATTTATCAGAATCGGTTTCAAGTTTTGAAGGAAGAAATCTTTCAGTTGCAAGGTGTCATCAGTCGTCATGAGGGTTGGTCTCGGAAACTTACCTCAGCAATCTGTCTGAATTGCAAACTTGATCCTCCAATCTCTGCCTTCGATGCCTCACTAACCGGAACATTAGAGGAGAGGATCTCTTCTTTTCTGAAGCTGCCGAAACACATGGTGAATGTTCTAATGTTTCCAGAGGACTTGCACAATCTTATTGTTTTTGTGCATAGAAAGGATGAAACACAAGAGTTTGTTGTCGATAACAATCTCTCTAAAGAATTACAAACCAGCAGACTCGAGATCTTGCACTGCAACAAATTCGTTGTGATTGAAGGTGGATTGCAAATGGGATTGTTGGAAAAAGAAACGAGCAAGATCCTTTTGAGTTTACAGTCTTCTAGCTTCCTTGCCATCACCAAGAAGAGGGACAGAGAAATACAACTCAAGAAGCAGTGGGAACAAAGTAAGGTTGAGCACTACCGGACATGCCGCAGGTTGATTCTAAGATTTGCATTTACTTTGTTCTACGTCAAAGTGTTCTCTGTGCGAGTGCGGAGGATCGGTGAAAGAGTGCGGGAGGTGGCAGTGGAGCAACTGTTACTCCGAAAGGCCTTCATGGCTTTCCGATACGAAGTGAACATGCTGTCAAGAATGTCGCTACACGTA